GAAGCCTTCAACAGTATATCTTTGTATATAAAAGGAAACTTTGAGATGATTTAAATTATGAAAATATTTCAAATGTATTGGGGTATTTATGCTGACAACAACATTTGATTCCCCAACATAAGATAACTTTGCTTTGCCTTGATCTTTTATTTTAGAATAATGTCGTTTTTTAAGGTAATTTATTCCATTAAATCTTGACGGATTAAACAATCGAATTACTGTATCCTGTTTCTCTATTGCAAAAAGAAGATTTTTCTTGTTATTTTTTGGTAACAGTAACTCGGTTCTTCCGCCATAGCTCTTAAAAATTGCTGCCATAAACCTCATTACTTGCCATGGAACGTATAATTTAATTGATGAAACAAAACCTGTTAAATGACTTTTGGTCAGTTTGGAGAGCATTGCAATGTCTATTTTTTTTTAAATTGCTATCAAGCATCGGCCCAACCAAAACTAGGCGATTTCCGATATTCTCTTCAGTTCCTGAGTCCATTTCACTTCCCATTGAGTAGTCTTTCGAAAATTTCATTTCATTTTGCAACCACGATCGCTCAAATGATGAAAGTTTTGGAGGACGCCATTTTGAATGTAAATTTAATATGGTGGTTAGAATACGCGGGACAATTTTTAAGCCAAGTTGCTAATTTCTATACCCTTAAACTACTAAACACTAAAATTAACGGAAACGACCCAAATATTTAAAATAAATTATATAGCTAAACATAATGGCTGGAATATCGACAACCGGTTTTTCCGCTTGAATAAATCCGCAAGTGGGAGAAAATATATAGCAAATTTACCAGCGTGAATAGCATATATAGCATAAACAGTCTTTTAATCTATTTTAAATATCTTGTACTTTAAAACCGTAAATGGCCCATTTGGGTTTGTAAACAGGACCCATAAAGAAAACCCATCGGGAATCTCGTGAGGGTCCCACAAGGTTAATCCATTACAAACCTTGCAAAACTACGTTTAAATATTTAAAATTTACAAAAAAAGAAAATTTATATATAACTTGATTGAATTATTTCAAAAAAATTGTAATTAAAATTGCACTATTGAAATAAAGCAAACTTTTACACGATTCTTCAATCATCTATCGAATGCTCTCACGGTTATCTCGGGAATTGGAAGCATTTTCCATTGTTGTTAAAACGACTTCTTTGAAAAGCTCTTTACACAATATCTCGTTTCAATATGAGCTGTAAAAAAAATTAAATTTAACTGTTAGTTTTAAATTTTATTGGTTTCACAACCTTATTTTTAATACGTTATAAAACTCTTACGTTTTCTCACAACATTCTTCAGATAAAAAATGTAACTTTCACCATCGAAGGTTGAAAAACATAACCTTAAATTTTATAATCAACGTTTACTTTTTAAAATGTACTTGTAACTTCTTCCCTTCTAAATAATAAAATTAAATGGAAAGAAGTTTCGTCAGCAGTCGAATTTGTAATGATGGAAGTAATAGATGTTGTTATTAATGACAATTATTTCTTTGAAGATATTCGAAAAGTAAATTTATATTTAAATGAAGAAAAATTTAAGAAATGGACCGATGAAAATATTGAACTTGATAAAAGATGGGTAGATTTAATTTGGTATTTTAGAGTAGAACATATCCCACATGAAAATTTAAAAGTTTTAATAGAAATTTCTTTCTGTTATCCAGGCACTAATGCTGCTGTTGAAAGGGTATTTTCACTTAGGAATGAATATCGGAGGAGTGAGAAGTTGCAACTTTCTGTAAAAACATCATCTGCCGTCTTAACAGTCAAATTTAATATGCAAAATGAAAGTTGTTCGGATGTGGCTACATTATTAGACAAACATCTTCATTTAGCAAAAAAAACCACTCTAAAGAAAAATATGTTTTTAAAAGAAAATAAAGTTTTTATCGTATTTTCTTCTTTTTTTTCACCTATAAATACTTGCATGCACTCTTTTTAAACAAAAAATAGTTGGTCCCCTTAAGATAATTAAAAATAGCATTAGATTTTTGGGCACCACTTTTTAAACAAATCTCTACAAACCAAATTTGGGTCCCCTAATATTGTGAGTCCTAGGCCTAGGTTCTGACGGTAAGATTTATAATTATTTTACATGCATGCTTAAATTTTATCACTATTTTAGATTTTTATTCAATAAATTTCTATATATTTTTATATAAAATATTTATGGAGTTTTATTCTCTTTTACTATCAGCTATCAAGTTGATTTAAACTCATCAGCGTCAGGTAATAAACAAGATAATAAACAAGGGTAATATTTACTCCAATCATTATATTTGTCCCCCAAAGTTCATGCAATTCTATTATACATAAGTCTCTCACTAATTCTAATAAAAAAAAGTTATTACCATAATTATTATATTTATATTTACTAACCTGTTATTACTAATATTTATAAAGAATACAATCTGGTTGTTTAAGTCACTTTTACTCATATCAGTATGCAAATGTTGTCAACAGTCAGAGAGCACCATGCAGAAATATTCTTGAACAGGCTGCAAAAATACAAGATATACATAAGATACATATCATATAAGACCTATTACCTGGAACATAACATTTTATAGTGTTTAACTAACTATAACTTTATTATTATAAGTAGGCATATGGTTTTTACCCATATAATAACTATTAGTTATTGTTATTTATGTTAAAGTTATCAAATGAAATTAAAGTTTTATAACTAATGCAAAAGTTTATATCAATAAATTTTATCAGTATTTTAAACATAAGTATTATATTACAAGTATTTACAAGTATAGGTATTGTAATTATAAGTTATTGTTATGTATATTATGAAATTATTGTTAATATTATAAGTTTTCAATTTTAAATTATAGTCAAAAAATACCAATGATTAAAAAATGAGGTTGATGCATAACAAAAAAGTCTTTTGCATTTAAACACCTAATTAGTCTTTATTTATATCTGACGGTTGGTAAACTTCGTTAACATTAGTCATTTTGCTTGCATAAAATATAGAAAAATCAATGGAAAAGCGTGGATCTGTAGAAACGATTTAAAAGCTTTAAATTCCTTAAATATAACCTATCCATCACACTTCATTTGTCTGTTTACTCTTCTTAAATGTTTGTGACTAAACCATTTTTTTGAGCAACTTCAAAGCCGTTATTACCATCACAAGCGTAAACAACACTTTATATTTTAAAAATGCAAATAGCGTCTCAAAGGAATAGTTACTACTGTTTAATAGTTACTGGAATGTTGAACATATATGTTAAAATTTGTAAATTTATTAAGAAAAATAAAAAAAATTCATTTATAATGGTAATAAATAAACGAAATTCTAAAGCAACAACTTTTTAATTGAGCTTCACAGTGAAAAAAAACATCGAAAAAAAAAATTTCTCTTTAATTAATTTATAAAAATAAATTATATTCATAAATTATAACTTTTATGCATTATATTTTTTGTATACATTATATTACAATGTATACAAAAAACATAATTCATAAAAGTTAAACTTTTAAATTTATTTCACAGACATTACAAATTATAAATGAACTCCGTCAAATCCACAGATTTTTCGGCCCTGATAAAAACCAGATAAAACCCAAACGACCAAATATGTTTGATTTTATTACCATATGGGACCCATATGGTAATAAAATCAAGCATATATGGGAAAAGAATACTCTTTTTTTTCAATAATTTAAATTATCCACAGATATTATTATCTTTTGGCAATTGAAATAGTTAACAACAAAGCAATAATATGCAAAATAATCTTAATACTGTCAATGGATAAATGAAATTATCGAAAAACATAGCATCATTATTTAAAGTAAGTTTAGTATTTAGGTTATAATACTTCTCAGTAAACACTAAACCAAAAAAAGGCGTCTTTTGAACGTTCAAAAGACGTCTAAAACGCGTATAAGACATTTAAAAGACGTAATTTTAACGTCCGTATCCTCCAGTGGATACGGACAAACCATACGGACGTTAAAATATCTACTACTACCGCGTAACAGATAGGTAGTTCTCGAGGAGCAATTTTTACATTAAAATTTATAGTAATTTATTCAATTCAATTTATTGATTTTTTTATCTAATTATCTGAATATTATTAACTCGAATTTCGAATAATTTTTTTACGCGCGTATATAATGGTTAAAGACTGGTTACGAGGTTCAGAATTAGTTTTAAAGTTAAATTTTATTTAAACATGTAGTTGTTTTTTATACCATGACCTGGTTGAGGTAAATAATTTAAAAGTTAAATATGATAGCTCTGTTAAATTTTTAAAAAATATCAAGTTACCAAGAACAAAGTAGGAAAAAACTAAAAATTTCAGGAAATGTTTATGGTGCACTTCTAATTAATATTGGATAAAGTCGGCCAAATTTGGACTGGAGCGTTGTCTGAAATCCAAGATGACGTTTAAGATTGCATTCAAGATTATATTTGTAATATCTCAGCTTGTAGATGATTTTGAAATATTTTGAAATTTGATCAAGATGCTAAGATATTGAATACACAACAAGTTGAGATATTAAACATTTCAATTTTAAAGCAATTTTTGCCACAATCTTGGATTTTGACAATTATTTTGTTTTTTCATAAAATGATCGGAAATTACTTTCTTGACCTCATAAACGAAATAGTAGACAAAAGAATTATTTTTATAAGTGATGTAAAAGTTCAGATATTACAAACAGTATTTTAGATGCCATTTTGGACGCCATTTTGGATTTCAGATAAAGATACACCCCGATTATGGCCGATTTTCTAATAATGAACTCTGTAATGCATACAGAACAATTACAAAAATTTTTTGCGTGCTCCTAATTTTTGATGGCTCTAATAAACCTAATTTGATTGGCCTATGAGTTATTAAGTTTATTGTAGGTATTAAAATGCTATAAAAACAAATTTATAAACAAAACTTTGAAATCATTTTAATAAGGCACTTATTATTAGTAAAACTAGTGGTTAAACTGACGTCAACACTAAGACAATTATTATGTTCCATATATTTTTCGACAAAAACGCTTTAACAAAGAAACTTTTTTTTTTTAACAATAAACTTTTAAAAACTTGAATTATTAGTTTAAACAGAAAAGTTACAAAATAGGCCATAGAATGCATTAGTTTTTTTATTCTTAAATTCTAATGAATATCTTATCAAATAAAAGTAAATGCTAAATTTAATAAAAGTTAAAAAAAAAAAAATTTTGGTTGAATAGCTTAGTTAAAATTTGTCTCTTTAACTTTCAAAATTACTATAAAAATTATTCAAAACAATATCCTAGTAAATTTCAAAGTAAGCATTGCAGCTAAAAATATTCCACAAACCACAGATGCAATTGCATAATTCTTTGCAGTATGCGATGCAATATGAGCTCTGTTTATGTCGCCTTGTGAAATAGCTGTATCGACCTTAGAATAAAAAAAAAGTAAAAAGTACAATTTAACTTATTCATAGACTTAAAAATTTGTAAAAAAATATCAAAAGCATAATGCAAATTAATAAGTTAGGGCCAACGGCACTATGGTTGGATGGGGTGGGGGTTGGTTGTTGATTGACGAGGGTAGTAAGGGACACACTATTTTGTTTTAATTTCAGAAATTTCTAGATATAGAGAACTCTTTTTTATAACATGATGATTGTGCCCTTCCACTTTGAAACCCGTGTTGTTGGCCCTGTAAGTACAAACTAAAAACCTCTTTAGATTTAATAATCGACATAATTCCAAAAGGCCAGAAGCAGAATATACAAGATAACCATGCAGCAGCACCATAGTTATTTGGAAGCTCTTTTACAATATATGTCGCAGGTTGTTGAATAAAAGTGTTTGTTGCTAGATAAGGCTAAAATAGTAATATTATATCATCAATTCAGCAACATAAAATATAAAACAAAATTTGTAATAACTAAAATTTGAATTTTATTTATCTTATTTCCTAAAAACAAATTGTTAAAAAATACAAAAAAAAATTTGACATGCTCTATTCTTAATTTATTATCACACACGTTTTTAATTTTTTTTTTCTTTTTTTTTTAAGTAATAAATTTCGGTAAAACAAAATTATTTTGAATTATATTTTTTAATTAAATGTCGTATAATTAATGTAAAATATAAATTAAAAATCTATTAAATAGTCAACCAAATGTGCTTTTAGTAGTCCATTTAATAGATTTTTAATTTATATTTTACCATAACAATTCAAGTGGCAAACAACTTATAGTTCCACATTTACAGTCAACTTTTTAATTTATAAAAAATTTACAGTTATGTTAAAGTTAAAATAAAAACGTGTTAACTAACATTATTGTTTAAGAGTTGATTGGGATTGATGTTGCACACGTTTATTGGCAGTAGAGTTCCTTAAGACGTTTTACATCTGAGAAAATAAAATAATAAGTTTCTCCAAAAAAACTTAAAAGAGTTTTCACTTTATAAAGAGAGATTTATATTCTCAGTTTTTATTATTAGAAAAACTTATTTTAATGTGTAAATAGTAAGGTTGAGAATTTCTAAATAAAATAAACTTTTGTGAAATAACAAAAAGTAGACGTTTTCCGAGTTAGCTTGTATAAAACATATATTATATGTAGTATTCCCTTCTCTCAACTACGATATAAAATAATCACAAAACAAAATCATTTTAAGATTAAAAAGTTTTATTGTGTATTTTAAAGTATTATTATTTATTGTTTTATTATTTTCTTAGAATGTTTTAAAGAAACAAAGATTTTTTATGTGTAAGGATTGCATACAAAAAGGAAAGAGGTTGTTCTACGCTTACAAAGAAGGTGGTTATCAAGTTACAGTCATTTTTTTGACAAATTTAGTTGGCTTGTCTGGTATTTGACACTAATCAGTCGGGTGACTTCTTGTTTTTAAGGAGCTTTTTTTGTTTTTGTTTTAAAGGAAAATAATCGGTTCTTTATAATAAAAACAAAATATAAGGGTTTGTTCTATTCCCATCCTCTTTTTTTATTTTATTAATTTATAAAGTCAAAAGTACCCTATCAAAGTTGTGGCGAGTGAGACTCAAGTCTTTAAAGCACTTATTTAAACATAGCGGTGGAAATTATGACCTCAAAATTATTAGTTCGTTATTTTTATTAATAACTATATTTTTAAATAAATCAAATTTAATAAAAACAATTTCTTTACATATTGCCTTTTATTGATCAATATCGTCTTTAAATAGAAAAAAATTGTAAAATACTGTAAATATTTAATCAAATCATTTTATATATAATATTACAGTTTTTAGTTTTCAGCCAGTTTATTATATGTTTTAAAATACCCCATCCCTTTTAAGGATAAGAGTGCACATGTTATTGTCCCTTCAACAACAAGGGTGCAACATGCATATGTCAAGCCTTAAACAAAGCTAGCTAAGACAAGGAATATCAATATGCTTAACAAATAATAAGATAAAACAGTTTTAAATAACTTTGAAATCATAGTTGCTACTTTAAGTTATAATAAAAAACTCAAAATAATACCAAAAAAAGAGTTTTACAAAGAACGGTTTTTCACAATTTTTATAATATACTACTGTGATCAAAAAGTAAGGTGAATTTTTTTATAAAATGAAAAATCTTTATTTATTCTTCCAAATCTGTTTCGTCCCCTTCAAAATAATCACCCCCGGCCCCAATACACTTTTGCCAACGTTTTTTCCAGTCTTCGAAGCATGCCGAAAAGTCCTCGGTAGGGATAGCCTTCAATGTGCGTGCCGATTCATGTTGGATCTCTTCAATGGACTCAAAACGATTTCCCCGGAGTGGTCTCTTGAGCTTTGGGAACAGCCAGAAGTCACACGGTGCTAAGTCGGGCGAATACGGTGGTTGTGGAGCAACATGGGTAGAGTTTTTGGCGAAAAACTCACGAAGAACCAGTGCTGTGTGCGAAGGCGCATTATCGTGGTGCAAAATCCAAGAGTTATTGGCCCATAATTCCGGTCTCTTTTTGCGAATAGCTTCACGCAAACGTCGCATAACGCTTAAATAATATTCCTTGTTGACAGTTTGGCCAGTTGGAAGGAATTCGTAGTGCACGACACCACAATAATCAAAGAAAACAGTCAACATGACCTTGATTTTTGAGCGACTTTGACGTGGTTGCTTCGGTCTCGGCTCGCCTTTTTCACAGTATTCACTCGATTGGTCGGTTGTTTCAGGGTTGTATGCGTAGACCCAAGTCTCATCGCCAGTAATAATTTGTTTGTAGACGTCATGATAGTCAGAAAGCATTGCTTCACACGTTTTAACGCGACGCTCTTTTTCAAAGAAATTGAGAAATTTCGGCACCAAACGTGATTTGAGTCTTCTGAGGCCCAAATGATCTTTCAAAATCGCTTGCACTGACCCAAATGATATTCCAACCATGTCAACAAGGTCTCGAATGGTTAACCGACGATTAGCAAGCACCAATTCTTTGATTTTGTTGATGTGGCAATCATCAATCGAAGTCGATGGTCGTCCGGAGCGTTCCAAGTCATCAACACGTTCTCGGCCTTCTTTGAAGTCTTTGTACCACTTGAGACATAGTCTCTTCACCGAAGGCCTTTTGCAACATTTGATACGTTTCAGCAGCAGAAATATCATTCCGCAAACAAAATTTAATAGCACTTCTTTGCTCAACAAAATTAGACATCGTGAAAATCGCCGAATGCACTTTTGGTACTTCAGAAACAAGCGTAAACAAAAAAAAAAAATTATGAGTTTGACATGTAATTTGGCGCAAATGTTAATGGCATTCCTACCAACTTAAAAATAAAAAAGATTGGACGATTCGAATAAGACGGGAAGTTCAAATTAAAAATTCACCTTACTTTTTGATCACAGTAGTACTATACACTATTTTACTATAAAATTGTCTTATGCAACTGTCTAAATAGGTCAAAGTTTTACTTGTTATTTATAAAATACCTTATCTTTTTTTTGAAAGTTTTTATAATTTCAAAAAATTTCTAGTGAACCGGAAATTTTTACGAGTTGAAAATATCCGGGACATTTTAAACCCTAATAAAAAGAATTAAAATATTTCTTAAAAAAAATCAAGTGTGTTAGTTAAACTAAACACATTTAAAATGTGTATTAACTAGACCAATATGGCATCTTATTAAACTTTATTTATTTTAAAGAGGCTTGTTTAGAACTCACAATTAGACAGTAGCTATAATTTTGCCTAATGAAAGAGTAAAAAATAACACCAAATAATAAATCAAAATATTATTAATCGGTGCTTTTTGATAATAACATAATGTATTCACATTTTAATAAAATACTGAAAACGTAAAAAGTGCATTCGAAACTCACTAAAGTAGTAGAAAACGTACTTGAAGTCATTGACTGTTTTTTTGGACAGTATATTCAAAAACAAAGTAAACTATTTGAAGATTGAATGTTTTAAATTAAGTTTACAGCTGTAAGTAGGAGAAATATAAGCTGTTAAGCTTTAAAGTGTACTGTAAGCTGTATGAATGTAGTAGTCTATAAATGTGATGTAGCTGCATGAATGAAAGTAATGCTGCTGTATGTATAACGGTAATATATTTCTATTAATGAATCTAATACAGCTAAATATGTGATTGCATTGTAGACTTAAAGGAATGTAATGTGGCTATATAAATAAATGTGGTATAGTTGTATGTATGCTATTGTAGCTCTACAAATAAATATTTGATAGCTATGTAGATATGTAAGGTATGTATAAAGTTAGTGTAGCTGCATGTATAAATGTAAAGTAGCATAAAGAATGCAATGTTGCTGTATCTATGAATGTAATGTAGCTATTATTCAAATGTTATGTAGCTGCTTGTATGGATGCAATGTAGCATTATAAATGAATATAGCTGTATGTATAAATGTAATGAAACTGTATAAATGAATGTAATATAGCTGTATGTATGAATGTAATGTAGCTGTATGAATAAATGTATTCAGGCTTGGACTGGGCTGCCGGAACACCGGGAGACACCCGGTGGGCCGTCTAAAAATAAAAATATGATAATCAAAAAAGTGATCATAATTTTAGTTTAGCTACATTTTATTCCCCGTTGATTATTATAATCAACGGTACATTTTAATTTACCGTTGATTATTATAATCAACGGTAAATTAAAATGTAACTGAAGGCATCATAAGTTTTTCTCTGGCCTATAATTACATATAATTACAGGCTAATACATCTGCAGGCTTATTATATGAGTTTTGGCGGCCATCTATAGCTGACCGAAAGTAATATTATTTTAAGTAAACAAACCAAATTAGTTAACAAATGTTGAACTATTTATTTTACAATACAATTTTATATAGCTTCTCAAATTGATACCACAAAAGATATTATTGTACAGTGTCAGTGTTCTATTGTGATCCTAAATGTAATCGAAGCTGTACACGAACGTTTATTATCGACAGTCAATTGCACATCAACAACTGGAAAAGGAATGTGTGATTTGGTTTGTGGCATTTTTTAAAAGGTAGGCATCAATGTAAGTAAATGTATTGGAAATGCTACCAATGGAGTCTAAAATATGCAATGTCAATACATTAGATTCATTACCTGGTTAAATACAGTTTCCCCAGGTCAGATTCGTTTTGGTATTATGCCAATGTTTTAAATTTGGTAATGTGTGACGTTTTAAAAAAGTGGCTGAAGTTGTTACCTTATTAGGCGTTTTGAACACATGTGCAATATTTTTCTGGAATAATATTTACGCTTCAATGTTTGGCGTGAATTTAGCAAATTGAAATATGCATCTGTATTCGTTAAACCCGTTGATGGGAAAAAGACAGATCTCTTGCTTAGGTATTCGGAAATTTTTTCGTCAAAATTTCAGATCAAGAAACAAAAGTTATTGACTTTTTGTACATTGACATGTTAAAAACATTTCATGATATTTCTACATTAATCAAATTCAATAATGATGTCCGTTGCAGGGCGAAAGCTCTTTAGATTCATTGACAAGTTTTAAATTTGCTTTGACGGCACAATTGTTTTTAAAAATATTTGAGTACACAATGCCGTTGTCTGAATATTTGAAAACAAATGGAATGGATATGCTAAAAGCCTATATAATGGTTCAAGATAGTATGGGAGACCGGTGTTGGTTGCAACAGGGGTAAGATGCAACAATGCGTTTTAAAGAATAATTTTTACATATTGTTTTTCAATTTTTTTTACATTATATAACTATAATTATGTCACGCAAGTTATAAAAAACTTATAGTAATAAATTTAAAAGTTATTGATAACTGTTTATTTTTCTATATAAATTTATAATTTTCGTTTCAATGTTTTTTTGGGTTTTACAAAAAACTGAGAAGTATATGATAATAATAAAATAATAATAAGTTAAAAAAATCTTTTTCAAACACAAAAAGTAAAAAAAAAGTAGATTTTTTTAATATGACTAATTGTATGCATTGATTAGAGTGATCATGATGCCTACGGGGTAATATTCAATATATATTGAATATTACCCCTTATGCATCATCATCATCGGGTTATATTCAAAGACACATTATTATTACAATCACATAAATGGAAAACAGCGACAGCCACATAAATAAATGCATATCTTCCAAAAAATGTATTGTTTATTATTACTTTTTTCTCCAGAAATTCAGCTTGCATAGTTTTGCGTATTCAAATATGTTTAATATAAATATAGCCGCATGTATAAATGTAATGTAACTGTATGAATGAATGTAATGTAGCTGTATACATGAATGCAATGTTGCTGTATGTATGATTGTTGAGTTGCTTTATGTAGGGATGTAAAGTAGCTTTATGTATAAATTTGATGCAGCTATATGTGAAATTGTAATGTATGAATAAAGGTAAAATAGCTGTATGTATGAATGTAATATGTTTGTATGAATGAATATAATGTAGCTTTTTGTATAAATGACATATAACTGTATGTATGAATATAATATAGCTGTATGTATGAAAATATGTAACTGAATGTGTGAATGTAATGTGTCAGTATGAATGAATATTATGTATCTATTTAAATAAATGTAATGTAGCTGTACATATGAAGATAATGTACTTTATGTATGAATGTATTATAGCTGAATAAATAAATATAATTTAGCTGAACGTATGAATGGGATATATCTGTTTTTATTAATGTTTTGTAAGAATAAATAAACCTGTATGCATGTATGTATTTTAGTTGTATAAATGAATGTAACATTCTTGTATGATTAAATATAATGTAGCTGTATGTATAAATCTAATACAGTTCTATGAATGAATATAGTATAGCTAAATGTATGAAAGTTAAGTAGCTGTGTAAATAAATATAATGCATCTGTGTGTATAAAAATAATGTAGTTGAAAGAATGTATGCTGTAAGCCGTAACGAGGAGGCTGTATACTGCTAGGTTCCGAATAGAATGACGTCTAAAGCTATAAAAATCAAAAAGACGTTGCTTCTTAGGCGCTAGTTTATAAGTTAGAAAAATTATCATTATAGCTTTCATATTTATATTCATAATTAACAAACTATCGATAACAAATTTTGAATACTTAAATGAATTGTTTGTTAAAACACTAAAACAATTTTTATTTTATTCATGAATTTCTTGTATTTAATTAAGTTTATTAGCTTTAATTGTATTTAATTAAGTTTATTAGTTTTAATTGTATTTAATTAAGTTTATTAGCTTTAATTGTATTTAATTAAGTTTATTAGAATTTAATTTAAACAACTTCAACTTATTAAATTGTAGGCAGTTTTAAACACTCTAAAAACTGACTTTGAATTTTTAGGTTTTTAGATACTGCTTTCTAAATAATAAATAACAGGTAGCAGTTCCATTAAAATAATTTATAACTTCTCGAAAGCACCGTTTTCTTTTTAGATTAAGCGGCTAGCTTACATTATCAAACTATTTAATAATTATTACAAATATATGACTAACAACTCAATTGCACGCTTTAAAGTTAATTTATTCACTATTTACCTAGCCATCTTGTTTGTAAAATATAAAGCTATATAACTTGTTAACCATTTAGGTAGCCATCTTGTTTGTAAACTATAACTCCATATAGTTATACTACCCAGACAGCAAGTATATACTGGTTCGATAATGGCTATATACAGTATATATAGTATATACTGGACCAGCGAACTCTTTAAAGGCCCGATAAAGTCCCGTTCTTGTACTGCCAGATCTGGGAAGCCGCAACAGAGCCATTGCCGAGCCTTTATAAAATTGACTGAACTTGGTAGCGGCAAAATAAACATTAATGGTCCAACATAGATTTGCCGGAGCAGAACAACAGACATTAGGCTAATACTAACCCATCAGTGGTAAAATCAAATTAAAAATAATATAAACAAGAGCGTTTGCGTTTACTGTGCAGAATTTTGCATTCAAAAAAGTCGTTTTTTTATTTTTTATACTATATTTTATAATATATCTTAAAACTTTATTGTTTAAAAATTATACTTTCTGGTGATTCTATTTTGCGTACATAATAATTTCTGAATAAATCCTAAAAATGAATATTTATAAAAAGAAATTTATGTTTTTTAAATAATTTCTAAATAAATCATTGCAATTAAATTTTTTGTTAAATAAGTAAAGTTTCGTATGGGATGTGTTGCTACACTACAAATAACATAATGATCACGATATATTAACATTGTTTACATCAAACATTATACATTAAAATGGCTTAATGTTTAAGTTAATTTTTTTCACCAAGCTAAAACTAGTGAAAAAAATTAAAACCTAAGTTATTCAAAGAAATATAAAAACCTAGTTTATGGTAACTGAAGAATGATTGACAATGATTCAAAAAAAAAAAAAAACTTGATAGAAATGTTGGTTTGATAGAAATGGAAATATATAAAATGTTTGTATATTACTTTGTAGATTATTTGAACATGTTTGGTTTGTTTCATTATTTTTTTGATGTCATATTCATAATTTTCCTGTAATATAATTTGAGTGTTGTTAACCTATTTATCTTTTATATTCTAATAGTTTAATAGGAATAATATGAAGATAATATTTTCTTTGTAAATATAATTTTTTTTTTTTATTTATTTACACTTTTGCCGATAAAAAAAATTTACAGTCGCAACTTATAAAAAAAAATAATTACATGACCGGGGCTAGAAGAAGACAAATTTAGTCTTATCATTAAGCCCCAATAATATAAGAATGTTTTTGTGTTATGCAAAGTTTTTGAAGTATTACTAACATATAATGCACTAGATTTGCACATATGAATATTTTTAAAAAAATAAATTGAAAAGTTTGTTGTTGACTTTATTATTTTCTTTTTCTAGGAGTTTAATTATTATGTAATTTTTTTTTTCAAATAATTTTGCTAATTTAATTATTTATAAATACAATAAATAAATAAACCAACAAAGTTGTGAAACACATTATTAGTGTATAGTCTAACAAACGTAAATAGCAGATTTTAACAGCTTTTCACAGTTTTGTATATATTTATTATAGGGTGTTAAAAATATAACTAAATTTTTTGATTTAACAACTTCTAGCTATAAATGGTTTTACTTTTCGGCTAATTTTTTTATAAAAAAATTATTTAGACCGTTTCATTTTTTAGATCGCTTTTTATATATCAATTATTGCTGTCTTTTGTAGTAGAGTTTTTGATAAATATTGATAAACTTTGCCAACTTATTGTATCAAATTCAATAATAGTTCTGCATAATTATATCCTATCACTTCTTTTTTTTGTTTTAGCTCGTAGCTTATTCTTAAAAATATATGTAGCATATATTTTCATACATTTCCTTTTAGTATGTTGCAAATATTTTTATATATTTTGTTTTAGTATGTATGCTTTAAACATTCTGCAACTTTGATAACAAAAATCCATTCCACAGGTTTGATGCTTTTTCTTGTTTTGTTATTTGATATGAAAAAACTTTAAAGAGAAAAAATTATATTTATTAAATTTAATAGTATTGATGTTTTGTTTTTAGAGTTTATTTGTGATAATTATTGCCAACACATAAATGTAGCAAATATTAATGAAGCTATGGCATCAAATGTAATGTCAACACGAAAATGCTCAAATCTCAAGTCAAATGGTTTATCAAAGTCTGGTAAGTTTACACTTTATCAAATAAGTGATCAATATTTCCCTTCCCAATATTTAATATCAGTATTTTCCTTCAATATTTCCTTTCCCAATCAATATTTCATTATTTCAATATTTCCCTTCCCAAATGTAATGTTGACACGAAAATGCCTAAACCTCAAGTCAAATGGTTTATCAAAGTCTGGTAAGTTTATCAAATAAGTGATCAATATTTCCCCTATTTTTACTATTACTAAAGACTAGATTTACTGTGTTTTATAAAATAGTTTCTTTGTATAAAAATATTTACGATGATTGAGAGGCATTTTAATTTTAATTTTTAAATTTTTTATTAATATATTGTTTATTCAAAATAAATTTCACAACAAAAGAATGAATAAAATACACAACAAAAATTACAAATTTTGTTGATTATAAGAACACAGATACTCGCAGAAGGTCATAAGATCTTGTCATCGAGAGCTGTCTAAACAGATTTTAACCAAAAAAATGTTTAAGATGCTGTAAAATGTAATTATACCGTGGCAACATTTTAAAGTTATCTATTTATAATAAAATGATATATTGCGTGTCATATACTTTATTTAGAGTCTGCTGTGAATTCAATTAAATGTCATGAAATGTCAAATCTCAAGACATAAAAGTTTTAATGGAGTTTTGGTCCATAATAATCCAAGTACCACATGTTTTAATAAATATATTTGTAAGTATCCTGCATTTGGTTGTAATTATAACTTTTTATTGTGATAATCATTAGATTTTAGTTCACAAAGTTATAAAAAGATCTTTAACTCAAGTCTATGTAACCATGGATTGTTGTTAATGGATTGAACTTTTTCGTCAATAATAATAAATAATAAAAAGATAATAATAAATAATAAAATATAACTAAAAATAAATAATAAAAATAATAAAAAATAATAAAAAGAATTGTTATTGTAACATGAAAACCATTTTGTTTTAAGTTGTGTCCATTTTGTAAATATATTGTTACTATATTGTATAAGTACAAATTGTAAAAATTATTAAGTTGTGCCTATGTTTGTTTTTATTTTATTGAAGTTAAAACGGATGCAAGCACTTAAGAAAATAATTATCTTACAAATTGAAGTAGAAGTTTATAACGAATCTTGTTGACGGTTAGATACGAATTGCAGAAAAGCATCTTTTTCGAATGGTTATGAATTAATTATTTGTATAATATTTGCGTAAATATATATTTTAAAACTTAAGCCTTTTTTTCAATTTTAATTAAAATTGTAACTATTTGTGTTTAAATACATTTTATTGTCTTTAATCTAAGGAAAAATACCCTAATTTTAAACTAACAAATTGCAAATTCTAATTAGAAAGAAGGGGTTTAAAAGGAAAACATAGGGACTTCAAATAGGATTGCCCGATGAAAACCGATAAAGACAAAACTATGTTGGTACGGTGAAATACGATAGTATGTAAAAATGGGTAATTGTTGATTTGCCAGTTTTTGTCCCGCACTGGCTAGCCGCTGTTTAGCCATCGCTGGCTAGCCACGGCTGGTCCATGAAAAATCTTGCAAAATGGAGCTTTGCCAGCGTCGGCAGCCAAAGCCGGTTTAGCGCGGCAACCTATAAAGGACTATTGTCTATATATTTACAAAATGTGCGGAACCATTAAATTCTTGCTGTCAGAATAGTCAGCCGGGCTAAAACACAGGCTTGTATATATTAATTAAGTTATTATACAATCCTAACTTATTTCGGATTAAACGAATGTTATCGTAAATAAAAATAATCGCGTTTTTATGAATTTGGTCAAGTAAACATCTTTAAGTATTGGCAATCACTCTAGCAGTTAAAAACATGCACTTTACTGCTACACTTTTTGAATGATAAAATTAATAATCACTTTCCAAACATGCTAGACGTGAAGATTTGAATAATTTAGCAATACAAAACTGAGTCATTTTTTTATTCTCCTTTTTATTTACAGGTAACATAATTATTGATTTTAATGCCGTTATGCCCATATGCACAATGCCAAATGGCATAAGTGCAAATGGGCATAACTGCACAAAAAGAATTCCAAACATTGGCATAAGTGCAAACTGCTATAAGTGCAAACTGGCATATGTGTAAATTGGCATAAGTGCGCTAAATAGATTTACAAACATTCGCATAAGTGTGAATTGCCATTAGTGGGAACTGGTATAAGTGTGAAGCAGTTGCAAAAACTCGCAAAAGTGTAAACAACATAAATGCGAACTGGCATAAGTGTGCCAAATAAATTTGCAAAATTTAGCATAATTCCAAACTGGCATAACTGCAAACTAGCATAAGGGCGATATGCCAATTAGCACTTAGGCCAATGTTTTCAAATTTATTACACGCACTTATGTCAGTTCGCACTTCTGCTAGTTTTTGTAACTGTTTTGTACTTAATCAAATTTTGCACTTATGCCTATTCGAAATTTTTGCTAACCTGTTTGGCGCACTAATGCCAATTTACACTTTTTCCAGTTTGCAAGCTTAAAGCTATAGGTTATCCTATAGCTTTAAACTTTAGTCCAGATAATTCTTTTAACTCAGATAATATTCATATATATGACTACACTAATGGTTAGTGTACACTTATGATCTGGACTACATTAATGGTTAGTGTGCTATTTTTTAATCAATAGATTAGATTTAATTAATAGATAAACTGTATCGTTAAATTAAAATCTAAATGTTTAACTACATTTAGATTTTATGAATAAAAAGAAAAAAATTTTAAATACAGTAGTTAATTATAATTTCATAAATTATATGATATAATATTATTAAAATATATTATTTTTAGTTTTATGACAAATTCACTCATGGCCAAATCTAATATGGCAGCTGGAAAAGGCAAAGGATCTTTTTAGTCTAACCAAGCTATACAACTTAATAAAAAGTACGTTTTTATATATATATATATATATATATATATATATATATATATATATATATATATATATATATATATATATATATATATATATATATATATATATATATATATATATATATATATATATATATATATATATATATAACTTTTATATATAAATCTATATATAACAATTATTAGGCGGGATTGTATTTCTAATTTACCAAATACTAACCTGTTTCCTTTTTTTCTTCTCTTCAAGCACTGTATATATATATATATATATATATATATATATATATATATATATATATATATATATATATATATATATTTATTTATTTATTTATTTGTTTATTGTAAATAAATAATTATATATATATATATATTTATTTATTTATTTATTTGTTTATTGAGATAATAAGCCAATAAGTTTTTGTGTAACAGTTGAAATTATAAATCTTAATAACACTTTAATAAATGGTTTATTAAATTAGTGTGGTATATCAAATGATAGAAAATTTAGAATACTAAATAGTGGTGTAAATAACTCCATACTGCCAAAAATGGACTTAGTGCATTTCCCTTGTATTCCCATCTCGTAAAACTACTGCAAAGCAGGATCGGCTTTAGGTTCGGGCAAGTTAGTCCAATCGTTTCGCCACAGCTTGAGATCCTACATGGGGAAAAACCATGTAGGATCTCAAGTTCATCTGACAGTAAGCACAGTTAGAAAATGCCTGCAGCAAGCTGATTTGAATGGGAGAATTGCTGCAAAGAAGCCTTTATTGCGACCTTATAACATCGCAAAAAAAAGAGTATTGCAAAGTTGCACAAAACCTGGACTGTCGTACAATGAAATAAAATGCTATGGAGTGATGAAAGTACCTTTACTAGCTCAAAAATAGTACTTTATAGTTAATGAGCAGATGTATGAATTACCACTCTATGACTTGGAACTAGAACAGTATAATTCATAGTTATTTTAAAAACCTCAATCTTATTTGGTTCTCCATTCTTTGTAAAAAACGTATTATGAAGTACTAAGTTATTAAAAAATATAGAATTATTTATTTCTAACAATTACAAAATATTCTAGGTGTTATAGATGTTTAATGTACGTCATTGTCATTGATAATTATTGCTATTTTTATTTACAAAACCTGATATTGTTAAAGGTATTAGTTATATTATCTGGAGCAACAACTTAATAACTTTGAATTAATTTTTTAATGTATTCGTTGCACTGGGACCTGATAAAACCTTCCAATAACATATTGAACTTAATCTTGTAACAAAGTTGTTAATGTTAAACGTTTTAAATATTTTGTTTATATTAAATATTGCACATATTTTGGCAAGTAAAGTACTAGTATGTTCATCTCTGTTTAATTCGAATAAAACTTTATATTGAACTGGTAAAAAAACTATAAAAAAACAGTCTTTGTCTTTTAGTGTACCATACATTATTTATTCAACAGAAAAGATAAACGATACATTATCTAAAGTACACATCAAGATCTTTGCAATTAAATAAAACTTTATTTCAAAAAACTCCTAGAATATAGCGTCTGAAATACAGTGTGAAGTGAAATGGTATCCTAAATAAAAACTTTCATGACAGTCACATCTCATTAATTAACTAAATGTGATTGTCATGAAAATATTTTTACTTAGGATATCATTTCACTTCTTAACACTTCTTCGCGCTTAAAAAAATAATCTTTAAAAAACAAAATAGTTTTAACAAGAAGGATATTTAACAACATAACATATATAACATAAATACTTTAGTTATATATAGCTACAAATAAGTGTGAATATACTATATTATATACATTTTATAAAAAGATAAATTTTTTGACCTAAATTCACATAGAATGTTTTAATATACTGTTATAAAAAACTATCTACATCAGGCAAGTATTTATATATAATTTAAAAATATCTAGCTATATCATTAAAATTTTAAGCCAACTGATTTAAGACAGAAGCGATTTCTACATCTGAGAGAAGTCTATCCATCACAACTAATAAAGATGATTTATATTTAGGAAGAAGCATAAGCTGTAAATGATTTTTTGTAGTACACATGATGTAAAGACTGTGCCCTGTATACCAAATGCTATATATGGGTATAGGAAACAAAGTTAAAGTAGCTAAAAAATGCCCAAAATTGATTTATTTTACTTGAATGGAAGAACAAATAATCTATTTTTATATCGCAACTTTTGAACTGATTAAGCCAAAGATATGAATTTTTCAATGAAACGATATCACAAAATCCCTGTTTACAAAAAAACTTCTTCAATTGCTCTAGTTAACAGAAATGCATCAGAAATAATAGTAGACTTGAGACTTTCTTTTATTTGAGACATAAACATATGTGAGTAAAAATTGCGAATTATCATTGACGGTACAATTATTATGTACCAATTATTATGTACCAAAACCCAGCAATTATATGAGTTTGTTTTTTATCACTGATAGACTGTTTGCATTTAAAATTTAAATGAATTTTAACATTCTTTCTCTGTAGATACTAAGTTGCATTGAATAATTATTGTTTTTTTATATAAGTTTAAGCAGCCAGTTTTTCACATTCTGCGTCTAAGTTTTAAATGCTGAGTTACTTTTCCTTGTACAGCCTACATGTGGAGCATTTGACGAACTGATATATATATATATATATATATATATATATATATATATATATATATATATATATATATATATATATATATATATATATATATATATATATATATATATATATATATATATATATATATATATATATATATATAAGGGTGCGTCAAAAATTTTTTTTTTCTTGTTACAGACTTTAATCATTGCTAATAGTTATTAATATTGATACTATAAAACATGAGAATGATTGTGAAAGATTTAAAGAGCGCAACTTTATTGGGAAAATTACCGGTACCATAATATTTTAGAGAAAAAATGTTTTTTAAAAGCAAGTCAACCTGGTACTCAAAAGAAGCAAAATTTTATAAAAAATTCGAAAATATTATTCGTTCTATAAAAATCATGTAGCAAAAATGCAATGTGGAAAACATTGTTCAATCCATAAAAGTAAATACTTTCTTAAGTTAGTACATAAAAAAAACTTTCTAGCAATGTTTAGAGCCTGTAACAAGAAAAAAAATTTTTATGACCCACCCTAATATATATATATATATATATATGTATATATATATATATATATATATATATATATATATATATATATATATATATATATATATATATATATATATATATATATATATATGTATGTATACATATATAAGTTAAATCAACAATGTCTAAGAAATATTTACATCTGAAGTGGCATTTTTTGCCTACTATTTTCTTGTCTTGAAAAGAATCCAACTCTTAAATAAGTTAATTAAAATTTATCATTTATTATGGGGCTCTTGTTGGCAGAATAACTCTTTTTTAACTCAACTTTTTATTTTATTTTTACTATAATCTAGATCTTTGTATATTTGTGAATATTAATTCATTCGATGAGTCATCTATCCTTCGTTTTTAAGGATTTACTCTTACCTCCGATCTCTGTTGCAAACCATATGTCAAATTAAATTAAATTATCTTCTGCAAAGGTTGCAAGTCTTTGTCGTGCTCGCCACTCAGGATTCTAATCTTTATCTTTATAAATATCAAATGCGTCCTTGTGTGATATACTGCTGCCATATCTAGGGCGGATCTTCTAATGATGCCCTTTCTCTTTAAATCTTGCAACCAACCTCCAATCATTATCACATCGTTGTTGCTTCTTTTTCTCTTTTTTATAATTAATTTATTGGGCGCAGGTCTAAGGAGCTTTTTAAATTTAATAAAATTCATGCTAATTCTTTGACTGTGACAGTTCCTAAGTGCTCTTAAACTTCTTATCCGTCAAGTTTTTTTTCGTGAACATTACTTCTTTGTAAATCGCTCCCTTCATTTTCTTTTCCTGATTCATTTAATTTGTAGTCGTCCGTTAATCTTTACATTGCTCTATAAACTTCATCTTTTCTTTTCCATTAGTTTCCAAATTTATAGCGGTTGCATACAGCCTTTTTGGAAGAGAAGATGTTGAAAAAAAAGACTTCTAATTGTATAAAACAAAGATAATACATTTTAATTTCTATTTTAAGTAGAACAATTTACAATGTCAGCTTTAAAAAAAAAATATTTATAGAGATCAAAATATTTCTAACATTGCGATGGAAAAAGTAGTTTTAAGACTAACCAGTATTTTTAAAAGAAATCTATATAAATTTTACTATTTTGCAGACATTATAACTTTAATACTTCTAACTAATAAAAATAAATAAAAAAATTCTTTCTAAACACGTCATAGTCTTTTTATTTTTGAATGTTTTTATATTCTATGTTTAATAGTATATAGCTCTTTTTTATACAGGTAGCTTTCTATTGAATGCTTTGACTATTTACATTATATTATTTTTAGTTTTTATTTTCATTTTTTACATCATATGATTTTTTATTTTTATAGTTGATCTGAGTAGTATTTGCACTGTCTGTATAACGTTTTTAACAAATAAATAAAAACTCGTTATGTAAACTTTCTTTCATTAAAGTAATTGGATTTTTTGTGTTGTCAAACCAAAAAACGCCCTGTCACAAAAAATTTTTTTTTGAGTTTATTTCATTTCATTATTCTTAATACTGAAATCTATTATTTCGTTAAATATTAGTTCTATTAAAAGGCTCTTAGTACTAAAAACAGGTATGAAAAATATTAAAGCGTTTTCAAAACACGTTAAGTCAAACTGGTTAAAGCTTCAAAGCATGCAAGTTAGAAGCCAAACAGATGAGCACTAAGTGGCGTTATGTCTTTTTAACAACCAATGAAAAGTCTGTTTATATAACTATTTAAAATGTATCACCTAATACAAAGTGGCTGAAATTGGAGAAAGTTTAATAGCTGTTGAAGAAAATGCAAACAACCATCTAACTTAGGGAAAAAAAACAAAAAGAAAGGTAGTAATTATTATTTGTTTCTAAATTATAAGTGATAAATCTTTTAATCAACGTCAGCATATATTTTTTTAGATCTTCTTTTAGGTGTTTAATACATGGGAGAGAACATTCATTAATTTTTGTAAACTTTTCCCATCCATTCAAGCTTATTAAGACCACCAAACCCCCGTTTATGGGGGTTTGGTGGTCTTAATACCACCAAACCCCCTTATCATTTTGTTTATCAAAAAGCTTTGATAAACAAAATGATAGGGCTTTACTTATTTTATAATTTAAGTTTGAGGTTTAAACTAAAAAATTTTTAAAGTTTTCGAAAGCGTTAATTAAAAGATTTAAACAAATAAGTTCTATTTATTTTGAAATTTATTAAGTAAGGTTACTTACATTTCCAACTACTGGTTGCTGCACTTGAACTTGAATGACTTCGGAGTAAGGAGGTGGTTCATCTTATATAAAAAAAAAAAGATTAAAAAAATTCTATTATGAAAAACTTAATGTAAAATAAAGCCTAAAATTTTGTTTCTTACTTATTTTTAGTAAGCCTATACCACCCCCCCCTTGCCTCGACTTACGTATTTATTGGCATTTTCCAAAAAAACAACTTTTAATTAAAGAGCATGCAAAATTTTATTTATCAACTAAAATTTGAAATTTTTGTTAATCTGTTGCTAAAAAAATATATTAGCTTTGATAAATGCTTTTACAAAATAAAAATATACAAAATTTCAAAAAAATCATTTAGTTTAACTACATTAATCTTATTTTTAGTTCACCTCCATTTTAAAGTATTTTATTATATTTTTGAGAATTTTTTTTGTTTTTATTACCATCGTTTAAGTTTACAAAGTAAAAATGGTATGTTTGAAATCAGAGTATTAATATAATTTTATTAGATAAATAATGTTGAAAATGTTGTTTTTTGTGATTTTTTCAATTAATATACAAATAAAAGACAAAATGCATAAAACTCGGCCTCAACTTTTTATTAAATTGAGGTTTACGCTGTGACCTCATACAAAAATACAAAATTGAAAGCAAAAATTGACTCAATTAACTGAATAAAAATAATCAACCAAAGCTTCAAAGCAAACTCGATCAGCTACCATAATTACTACAGTGCATCATCTTCCGTACAGTTTTGCACGAGCTAGCATGGCTAGCTCTAGATGGGTTTACGGAACTTTCCTTGTAATTTAAACAACTAATTAAAACGTTGTTTAAGTGATATCAATTGTTACTTGTCATCAAAATTAGACAGGTTGTAATTGTTAATATAAGTTTTACAAGGAGAAAAATTTTTTTAGGTTTTGTAACTTTCTATTGGTTACCAGATTAATAATATACTGAAAAAGCAATTCTGTTTCACCCTTTGGTTTCTCTATTATATTTAAACACACTATGATTAAAAAGTATTTGAATAAAGATTATTTTTAGGTGTCTAAACTATCTGTTGAATACTTTACGGTTTTAAACGTAACTAAAAATTTTTTTAAAGTACGTCAACCTGGTATTCAAAAGAAGCAAAAGAAATATATATCATAATATAAATATATTACTAATTTAGATTTTACTGCATAAAAACTTCTGTTTTGTAGAATAAAAGTGATATTGATGTTTTACGGTTTTTTGAAATAGCTAATGTTTAAAACATATTATTATAAAATAAGATTACTAATTTTGGAACTTTTATAAAGTTCTAAAACTTTTGAGTACCCTGTTGACTTAACTTTGTAGGATTTTTTTTTAGTGAGAGTATTAGATATTTGTTTAATACCCAAGACACAGTTGGGAACCTTAAAAACATTATTTATATGGAAAATTTTTAAAATCAGGGATATTTAATATTTCATGTCACCCTAATCTACAAATAGTTTCTTAAAAAACAATCTTCATAATTGTTGAAATTTTGAAATTTTGATAAATCTTTTGAAATTTTGATAAATCTTTGCAATTAACCTTTGTTGATGAATTTATTTTGACGATCTTGTTTTTTGTGGTTATACTTTTACTTCTCCCACCAATAATTTAAAAGTTCATTGATGTTATTTTTATCGATGTTTTTTTTTTACCAAGTACCGTTTTTTGACTTAATATCATTTTTTAGCTAAAACAACAACCAGATAAAGTTTTAATATTAGGAGCATTTAAATAAGTGTATATACACATTAAATCATTTTTTATATAACTTATAGACTATAAGTTATATGAAACCTTCTGAAACAGATAAAATTATTAGTAGAAGAAGACAAAATATTGGCGGAAAAAGACCTGAAATTTCTACTTTTCAATTTTATTTTATTTTCATGAAGTTATGCAAGAAATTTAACTACATGCACTCCGTTACAATGTTACTTAAAACGTAAACGTCGCGCGAAAAAGAAGGTGGTGGTTTATAGTTAGATATTTATAAAATTTAGAAAAGTAATAAAACAAATCGTAACTTAGCTATTATTAAACAACAACTGTAGCTGATGAGGGCTTTGGGAAAAATTTTCTCAAGAAATAATCCCCGCAAGAAAAAACTTTTTTTCAGTCGATTTATGAAAAATTACGTATTGTAACATAATATATATGTATAAAATAATTATATTATGAACAAGTATTTTATTGAACAAAAATTCTGCGGAATTTAAAAAAAAATTTATAAAAGTTAAATTTTTTTTTGAGTCATAAGATTTGAAAAAATAAAAAATAAACTACAAAAATTAAAGTTTCTATATTTATATATTTTTATGTAATTAATATGTAAACTCCATTTCTCTCTATAAGCAAATTACCTTAGAGGTATTATGCATTATTATCGATAAATTCTATAAAACCTTTCTATCCGATTTTCTTTAGAATTCTAGTTCTGAACTTGAATACAAATTCAAATCCAGAATATCTTTTATTTGACAAACTGCTCAAAATGTTTTCATCATATTACAAAAACAATAACTTAAGTATACAGCAAACTGTGATCAGATAAAATAACAACCAACAAAGACAAAATAACAAAACGAAGACATAACAAGAAAATGGAAACTGTATAAATAGTTACAAATCAACAAACAATTTGATAAACTTAAATTTGGATTTATCAAATTTCATTTTCAAATTCACTCTGTCATGTTTCTTATTCAATTGAGCACTTGTATTAGGTATATTCTTTCAAAAGTACTTAAGTACTTTTGACATAAAAAAATATTGGCTGCAATTAAAGAAGTTATTGATAAACAGAGACAAAAACTGTTTAAAAGAACGTTTAAGAGATGCTCTAGGCGTTTTAGACGATTGCCTTCATGACACAAAAATAGCATTCGTGACGCGCAAAAACGAAACTACCTTGTGCGCATCACAAGGTAAATTTTCTAGCACATTACGTGTTTATGAAAGTTAGTATTTGATTTAAACTATTGATTTAAAAGATTAGTTTTGTATAGACAATATAATAGAATTTATTTAAATATTCACGTTATTCACGATGTTTTAAAGCATATGATAAAAACAAGATACACAAGATGTTTATGTCTAAACGTCTTTAATTGTTTTTATCATAACCACTTTTACAAAAAATGTTATACAAAAATTGTCTATTGCTCGCCTTCTCCAAAAAAATATTAGGTTCGTTGAAATTGTTACCCGTTAAAAAACATCAAAAAAATGATCTCTTAGTTTTTTTTTGATCAAGTGTTCAAATTTGGTCTGCACATATTAAACACTTATTAGAAAAAAATATAAAACAATTTATAATATTTGCAGGATTCTGACAAACCAAGTTTTAATCTCAAAAGACTCAAAAAAAAGTTAAATTAATTAATATAGTTTTGTTGAAAAAAAAAAAAATAAATAAATAAAGTTCCAAATTAGTTAATGACTAAATTATTTAAATTGTTAAACTGAAATATTTATTAACGGAAATAAACAAACTTACTAAATTTACTTTTGACGTCTGTTTCCATTATTTCAATTTTTGTGCAAAATATGCTGTATATTTAAATTAAATTTTTTTTATGCTTTGTTTGGATAGTGCATACATACATATACATGCATGCATACATGCATACATACATACATACATACATACATACATACATACATACATACATACATACATACATACATACATACATACATACATACATACATACATACATACATACATACATACATACATACATACATACATACATGCATACACACATACATCTCATAAATTACTAATAAACCAAAATTTTCAAAATCTTAAGATCTTTTTCAATGTGAAACAGTCAAAATGTTTGTTATCGTAACAAGTAAATATTGTAATATTATGCTATAGCTCTCAGATTTATAGTTTTTAATTTCAGGAGGTTGTTTAAGGAAAGTAAAAAATAAAAACTAAAAAATTTTGTTTAAAAATAAAATCTCCTAACACACACAGTTTAATTTGTATCATTTTTAATTAAGTTTTTTATATAACTTTTTTAAATAAAACATAAAATTAAAAATTTTTAAGGGAATTACTAAACTTGTGGAAAAAATTTTTCTTTAATTTTTAAAAGTTACTAATAGTATTATATGATGTTTCACTTTACCACAAAGTAATGTTACCCATTTAATTGATACATAAAAAAATTAGGAAATTGTAAAAATTTACGAAAAATAAAAAATCGCCATGTTATTTAAAAATACACCTTCAGTCAAAAGACAATAAGTCGCCATGTTATTTAAAAATACACCTTCAAAATGTAATGGATTTTTATTATAGAAATGCTTGTCAACGCATGTCATGATTGAAATGATTATATTGAAATAATCTGATTCATTATATTAATAAATTATTTCTTTTGTGAAATATGTTTTTCTGACTATGATTTGGCTTTTTAATAATGACTGCATTTAAATGTGAATGCATAAAAATTTTCTACCGTTAAATAAAACCATTTTCATAACTCTTTTACGGAAACAGAGTTATAAAAATGGTTTTTGAACATTTGATAGTATAATTTTCTATAATTTCAAACATTTCGTAGAACCACAAAGACGGCGTCCAGCCGCGATTGCATAACGTATTGCTTTTAAATAAACTGATATTGTTTATTTTTTTAAATATATACATATAAATGTATATATACATATAAATGTATATATATATATATATATATATATATATATATATATATATATATATATATATATATATATATATATATATATATATATATATATATATATATATATATATATATATACATATATATATATATATATATATATATATATATATATATATATATATATATATATATATATTATATATATATATATATATATATATATATATATAGATATATGTATAGATATGTATATATATATATATACATATATAAATATATATATATATATATATATATATATATATATATATATATATATATATATATATATATACATATATCTATATATATATATATATATATATATATATATATATATATATATATATATATATATATATATATATATATATATATATATATATATATATATATATATATATATATATATATATATATATATATATATATATATATATATATATATATATATATATATATATATAGTTGTTTTGTCTGTTGCAAGCGAAGATGCAGTACTTTTCCATGTTTGAGATAACTTCTAGACTAACTTCAAAGCCAACATCTAGAGAGATCAAACTCCAAAAGTTTTAAGCTTTATTCTTATGCCGAGTATTGATGCTTTCCAAAACCTGCAATGATTGAAGCCTGCTAACGAAAAGGCCCTAAATTCTTCCTTTTCATTCCCAAAAATTATGATTACTTCATGTGATTACTTTTTTGACAATTTACGCGCAACTATCCTTAAACTTTATTTAAACCAAATACCCATTATTCTAACATGCATCTAAAAAAAATAATCCATTTTAACTACCTAGTATGTTTTATTGATAATAGTTTGATAAAAAGGAAAATATCGTCAAAACTATTGGGGGTAATTCTAAATGCATATATTATTTAGAAAGAACGTGCAAATGTAATTGAGAATAAAATTTTAAAATAAATTGATATACTGTTTAAACCTAAACAGCTTTTAACTCAATCTTGCTTGAAACACATATACTTTTCATTTATACTTTATTACCTAACTATGCAAATATTGCTTGGTACAGCACCAATATTACAAAAACAAATAAACTTCTCTGCAAACAAAAACAGGCCATTAGGATTATTGCAAATGAAGGTCGACTCTGCCATACAAAAAAACTTTTTAGTAAACTTAACTTACTTAATGTTTTCAAAATAAATCTTTATCAAATTTTATATTTCACAATTTTTAAAAGCTATCTTATGTATGGTATATATTACGGGGCTAAGTGAAAAAACAACGTTAATAATAAGTTAAAAATAGGTCTTCTTTTTGCCCCTGTCATGTGAATTTTCTTACTTTTTTTAACTGTAATTATTGTCAAATGGCGATATATATATATATATATATACATATATATATATATATTATATATATATATATATATATATATATATATATATATATATATATATATATATATACTATATATATATATATATATATATATATATCACCATTTGACAATAATTACAATAAAAAAAAAAAAAACTTTACATGATAAGACTTATTTTCAACTTATTATTAACGTTGTTAATCATTATATATATATATATATATATATATATATATATATATATATATATATATATATATATATATATATATATATATATATATATATATATATATATATATATATATATATATATATATATATATTATATATATATCACCATTTGACAATAATAACAATAAAAAAAAAAAAAAACTTTTACATGATAAGACTTATTTTCAACTTATTATTAACGTTGTTAATCATTATATATATATATATATATATATATATATATATATATATATCTATATATATATATATATATATATATATATATATATATATATATATATATATATATATATATATATATCACCATTTGACAATAATTACAATAAAAAAAACAAACAACTTTACATGATATAACTTATTTTCAACTTATTATTAACGTTGTTAATCATTATATATATATATATATATATATATATATATATATATATATATATATATATATATATATATATATATATATATATATATATATATATATATATATATATATATATATATATATATATATATATATATATATATATAGTGAAAACTAAATAATTATTAAGATATATTTCAATTACATAACTAATAGTTTCACGCAATAGCGATCATCAGATGTTACATCTGATGATCGCTATTGCGTGAAACTTTTAGTTATGTAATTGAAATATATCTTAATAATTATTTAGTTTTCACTATATATATATATATATATATATATATATATATATATATATATATATATATATATATATATATATATATATATATATATATATATATATATATATATATATATATATATATATATATATATATATATATATATATATATATATATATTATATATATTATTATATATGCATTGCAATGTAGGATAAAAATTTGCGAATTGACACAACTTTTTATCTTGGATATATCATTTTTTATATTCTATTTGGTTGCATTATGAAAAAAAGTCAAGATAAAAAATGTGAAATAAAATAAAATTAAAATAATACATTCATAGTTATTTTTTCTAGGTGAATATGACTGGGCCAACGAGACTTGCTATCATTTCAAGTTGGTCCATAGATATATTATGATGTCTTTTGTTTTTATATATTATGATGTCTTCTGTTTTTATTATTATTCAATGTTTCTGGAAATATTATGACAACCTAACTATTAACTTAAAAACTATTGATAATATAAAAACATAAGAAACCTTTTTATATGGTAACTAATTAAACTTAATTGATATATATATTTAAACCATGACTTAAAACTGTTAAATATTTTATGATTTTAAAAATCTATAACTGTGTTTGAAAATTTATATTTTTGCTTAGCCCTTTGTAAAACAAGCTTAATTTATTGGTTTTTTATTTCAAAATTGTTAGAAGAATTAAGATAACATGACTTTCAGGATGATTCTAACAATTGATAACTTTCTGTAGAGCTTGCTGTGTTTTTTTTTTTTTTTTACCGTTCTATATTAAAGATTTTAAATAACTATCAAAATCAAATACTGAAACATTGCCAAGTCAACCAAACCTCACTGCATTATATGAGAAATAAATTAAAACATGGACACTATGAAAAACTTTTTTTCAATTTTGTATTAATACAAGCATTCTATATTATTTAAACCTTGCAATAAATTAATTTTAAACAAAGAAAAAATTAAAAGAACAATTTTTTCACATTACAAAACAAAAGAGTTTACTTAAAACAATATCCAACTCATATATATTTTGTATATGCTTCCTAAGCGAGCAATCATGTGTGATATTGATGTTGACCCAGTGGTTGTCTATCTAATTCTAAATGTTTACACATTTTTAACTTTTTCTCATTTTAAAACACCTATTTGGTGTCGATTAAAATTTTTAAATAAATCAACTATTTATTAGTTATGCCTCAATGGAAAGAGTTTTGAAACAGTATTAAAATAGTTTTAAAGAACAAATACTAGATATATGCCCTGACAGCAAGTATATACTGGTCCGATAATGAATACTCAATGCCAGCGAATTCTTTAAAAACCCGATTAAGTTCTGTTCTTGTATTGCCAGATCTGGGAAGCCGCAACAGGGCCATTGCCGAGCCTTTATAAAATTGCCTGAATTTGGTAGCGGCAAAAAAACCATTAATGATCCAACAAAGATTTGCCGAAGCAGAACAACAGACGTTAGGCCAATACTAACCCATTAGTGGTAAAATCAAATTAAAAATAATATAAACAAGAGCATCAGCGTTTACTGCGCAGAATTTTGCATCCAACATAAAAGTCGTTTTTTTCATTTTTTATAAAAATATATCTTAAAACTTTATTGTTTAAAAAATTTCTTTCAGGTAATTCCATATTGCGTACAAAATAATTTCTGAATAAATTTTAAAAATGAATATTTATAAAAAGAAATATGTGTTTTTAAAATAATTTCTAAATGAATCATTGCAATTAAATTTTTTGTTAAATAAGTAAAGCTTCGTATGGGATGTGTTGTTACACTACAAATAACATAATGATCAAGATATATTAACATTGTTTACATCAAACATCAACCATTAAATTGGCCTAATGTTTAAATTAATTTTTTTCGCCAAGCTAAAACTGGTTAAAAAAACTTAAAACCTAAGTTACTTAAAGAAATATAAAGCCCATTTTATGGTAACTAAAGAATGATTGACATTGATTCAAAAAAAAAAAAAAAAAAAAAAAATCGATAGAAATGTTGGTTTGATAGAAATGGAAATATATAAAATGTATTTCGTAGATTATTTAAACATGTTTGCTTTGTTTTAATATCTTTTTGATGTCATATACATAACTTTTCTGTAATATAATTTGAGTGTTATTAACCCATTTATCTTTTATATTCTTATAGTTTAATAGGAATAATATGAAAATTACATTTTCGTTATAAATATAATATAAGAATATTATTGTGTTATGCAAAGTTTTTGAAGTATTACTAACAAATAAAGCACTAGATTTGAACATATGAATGTTTTTAGCAAAATAATTTGAAAAATTTGTTGTTGACTTTTTTTTTTTTATTTCTCGGAGTTCAATTATTTAATATTTTATTATTATTTAATATTTTTTTCAAATAATTTTGCTAATTTGTTTACTTATAAATACAATAAATAAATAAACCAAAAAAGTTGTGAAACACATTATTAGTGTATAGTCTAATAAACGTAGATGGCAGACTCTAACAGCTTTTTACAGTTTTTTATATAATTATTGTAGAGTGATAAAAATATAATTTAGTTTTTGCTTTTACAACTTCTAGTTGTAAATTATTTTGTTTGTCGGCTATTCTATTTATAAAAAATTATTTTGACTGCTTGATTTATTAGATTGTTGTTTTTATATCTTTTATGCTGTCTTTGGTAGTAGATTTTTTGATAAATATTGAAGAATTATGCCAATTTATTGCATCAAAGTAATTTATAGTTCTGTATAATTATATTCCATCACCTCTTGATCTTCTAATTTTTAATGTGAGTTTTTACATAAAAACTCTTTTAAGCTATGAACATGATTTGAAAAAATGAACACGAAATCTATGTTGGAGTTGTTCAATCATAATAACATGTTTTTGCATATATTAACTCCTTAATAGGGTTCAATATTCAAGGTGAAGTCTAAATAATGATGCACTATTAATGTTATATTTTTTTTAACTGAGTACTTCGAGAAGTTTTTGATTCACCCTGGTGCCGGACCTCGAAGTACTTTTTTCTCTTTAGTTTCATTTTAAAAAACTTCCATTAAAAGTTATAAAGAATTGCTAATAACGATGCTATTGAGTTGGTTTTTTATTTTAGCACATAGCTTATTCTTAAAAATATATGTAACACAAATTTTTATATATTTCCTTTTAAAATGTAGCATATATTTTTATATATTTTGTTTTAGGATGTATGCTTTAAATGTCCTGCAATTCTGATAATAAAACTTCATTTCACAGGTTTGATGCCTTTTCTTGTTTTATTATTATATATGAAAAAACTTTAAAGAAAATAATTTTATTTATTAGTTTTAATGGCATTGAGGTTTTGTTTTTAGAGTTTGTTTGTGATGATTTATGTGCCAATATATAAATGTAGCAAATATTAATGAAGCTATGGCATTAAATGTAATTTTAACACAAAAATGTCAAATCTCAAGTCAAATGGTTTATCAAAATCTGGTAAGTTTACAGTTTATCAAATAACTTGTCAATATTTCAGTTTTAAGTGCTTAAGTGAAGGAAAAGTTTTTTTCCCTTATTTTTACTTTCACTAATGACTAGAATTGCTGCATTTAATAAAATAGTTTCTGTAATATAACTTTCACAATAAAAGAATTAAAAACTATCACAAGAAAAGTTACAAACTTTGTTTACTTTACTAAAAGAACGCAGATACTTGCAGAAGGTACTATGATCTTGTCATCGAGAACCGCATAAACAGATATTAAATAAAAAAATGTTTAAGATGCTATAAATTGTAATTATACTATGGCAACGTTTATATTAAGTTATCTATTTATAAAAAATTGCTAAATTGCGTGTCATATACTTTATTTAGAATCTGCTGTGAATTAAATTAAAGATCATGAAATGTCAAATCTCAAGATATATAACTTTTAATGTAGTTTTGGTCCATAATAATTCAAGTACCACATGTTTTAATAAATATATTTGTAAGTATCATTCATTTGGTTGTAATTGACAATTTTCATTGTGATATTCAATCAATTTTAGTTCACAAAGTTATAAAATGATCTTTAACTGAAGCCTATATAAATATGGTTTGTTTTTAATGGATTGAACTTTTGAGTCAATAAATAAAATAATTGTTACTGTAACATGGTAACTATGTTGTTTATAAGTTGTGACCATTTTATATATATATATATATATATATATATATATATATATATATATATATATATATATATATATATATATATATATATATATATATATATATATATATATATATATATTGTTACTATATTGTATTAGTATATATAAAAATAATTATCAAGTTGTGCTTATGTTTGTTTTTATTCTATTAAAGTTAAAACGGATTAAAGCAATAAAAAAGACGATAAGGTTACAAACTAAAGCAAAAATTTATAACTAACCATGTTGACCATTGGATATGAATTGCAGAAAAGCACCATTTTTGAATAGTTATGAATCAAATCTTTGTATTATAATTGCATTAACATATTTGAAAATTTAAGCTAATTTTTCAAATTTATTCATAATAATTCAAATTGTTAATAATTATGTGTTTAATACATTTTATTGTCCTTAAACTAATAAAAAATAAAGTCACGTTTAAACCAAAAATTAACAGTGGATTATGTTAAAAACAACTTTAAATAAATAAGAAGATGGGGTCTAATAGTAAAATATAGGGACTTTAAATAGGATTACCAAATGAAAATCCTTAATAATCATATGTGCGATGTGATAGATTATTACCTCCGCCTGAATTATCACCTCCCCCTATTGAAAACTCAAAACGAGGTTGCGCTTTCTGGTTATAGCGTGTGTTCCTAAAACGTCCGGATTACCTTACATAACATAACATAATTAACATAAACATAAACAACGACAATGACGCTTCGAGGACAAGAATTTGAGAAATAAAGTTTACTTGGTCTTTTGTGATGTTCCAATTCCATTTTTTTGAAAAGTAATATAAGCAAGGTTTTATAAAAAAAGGTTGATAGTAATAGATATTATACAAATGTAATAAAATTAGTTTACTTATTATACTTATAATTATTATACTTGCATAAAAATATTAAATTATTACCTCCCCCTTAGGCTCAGGCTTGCTAAGACTTAGTAAATAACTTGATATGAGATGATACGATATTAGTATTGTTTGATAATGATTAGAAATTGTGCATCTGTAAATTAATTAGTCACTTTTTTACTTGAAAATGCTCAAAACCTTTATATCTGTCTGAATTATCACCTCCTCCTTTGGAAATCACAAAACCTTCACCTGAATTATTGCCTCCCCCTTGTAAATCAGTCAATATAAGACGGTGTGATTATGTTATTTAGTGAGAAAAATTTTACAACGGTCAATAGTTAGTCATATATTTACATGAAAATACTTTACAAATATTTTTATATCTGTCTGAATTATCACCTCCCCCCTTAGTCAATCACTCCATATGAGATAGTGCAATAATGATATTGTTTTATAATGATAGAAATTGTTTATTTGTAAATTAATTAGTCACTTTTTTACTTGAAAATGCTCAAAAAATTTCTTTGTATTTGTCTGAATTATCACCTCCCCCTTAGAAAATCACTAAACCTGCGCCTGAATTATTAACTCCCCCATGTAAATCAGTCAGTATAAGATGGTGTGATTATGTTATTTTGTTAGGAAGATAGAAATTTTACATCTGTAAAGTAATTAGTTATTTATTTACTTAAAAATGCTGTAAAAGGTTTTTTATATCTTACGAATTATCACCTCCCCCCTTAGTCAATCACTTTATATGAGATGGTGCAATAATAGTATTGTTTTATAATGATAGAAATTGTTTATTTGTAAATTAATTAGTCACTTTTTTACTTAAAAATGCTCAAAATTTTTTTTTGTATTTGTCTGAATTATCACCTCCCCCTTAGAAAATTACTAAACCTGCGCCTGAATTATTAACTCCCCCATGTAAATCAGTCAGTATAAGATGGTTTATTTTGTGACATTGTATTTAAAAATTTATTTTTTGTTTGTTTTTAGTGACTCATCATGTTATAGGGTGATGTTTTCTGAATGACTTTATGTGATAGTGTGAACGTTTTCTGACTGGCAGAAGGTAAGTTTTTCAGTTAGCAATTTACACTTTAAATTGAAGCTCAACTTTATCATATTGTTTATTCACTATTGGAAAACCACCGTTATAATCATTTGAAGTTACGGAATACTTTTATATAAGTTTATTAGTTTTAAGTATTTTATTTATTATAAAGTTTATTAATTGTTTCAGGATATTCAGTTTTCTTTTTGCCCAACCTTGTCAGTCTGGTGCTAAAAAGGTAAGTTTAGTGTTATATCTTTAGAAGCTAATATTATTTCGGTCCTAGTGGTAATGCACGCAAGTATGAATTATTTGTGTTAATAAAATTTTTTTTTCTTTGTTTATTTATTATTCAACCTTTTTTGCATAGAAAGTTTTAATTTTAACTTTGATTTCATTTCTTTGTGAATTTGTTTTATAGAAGAGAACAAACAACATTTATGTGTAAACACTGACAGTGGAAAAAAAGGACTAGTTTATTATGAATACACCACATTGGTATAAAGACTATAATTTTTTTTATACACTCTTTATACAATAATTAACATTTATATATATGTGCCTGTGTGTGTATGTGTTATATTTGTAAATATGCTGTATATATATATATATATATATATATATATATATATATATATATATATATATATATATATATATATATATATATATATATATATATACATACATATCAAAATTCTTCATAGATAAAATTAAAATAAAGTTTATATAAAAATATCAAACCAATATTGTAAATAATTTTATTAAAAATTACTTTAAAAAATTTTTATTTAATGTTTTAATTATGGTTCTTTATTTTAACTGTTATTATTTAATTTAATTGATTGTTTTGAGAAAGGTTTGTGCAGGTAAATGATTTGCTGCTTTCTGTTACATTTGGAGTGCAGTCCATGTGATACCATCGACTTGGTAAGCATTTATCACACTTAATCTATAAATAAATCATATATATAGTTTCATGATTATTATTTAAATTTAGAAATAAAATGAGATTTAAAGATAATACAAGTCTTATACCCATTTATCTATTATTTGTATTTTATATTTTTTCGGTCCTTTTGCATTACCGCATATGCGACACAAAACATCTTTCCAATTATGTTGACCTGAGTTTAAATTTTGTCAACCGTTATTTTTTTACAGGTGTATTTATATTTTTATTAAACAATTTAATAAATAACAAACCTCCTCTATCTATAAGATAGTGCACCACTTTGTTTCGATATAGAACTACTTCTTCTAATGGAAAGGACATTGTCAACTCTTCTCCATTCATAAAGTTTTCAGCAAACTAAAAAATTTTAAATAAGAACTCTTAACTATAGCAAATGTTTTATTAAACTCGGCTTAGGTTGAGCTACCTAAAAAATTTGTGATAATTTTTCAAAGTGGATGATAGGGAGGGAGGAGGAGATAACAAGAGTCTGAAGTTGCCTCTAAACAATGAACACTCGAATTAAAAATTTGTTAGTAGGCATATATGGTAATAGAGCTGTATTTATTTAGTTACTGGATAGCTCAATTGGTATACCGTTAATGAGTACTGCTCATTTGCATCAATATTATTTGGGTTTAGTCTTATTATTGCATCACTATCCAGATTCATTATAAAAAATAACTGATGCAGCTTTTGATTAGACTTTGAAGATATTTGCTGCTATCTTTATGATAAATAAAAAATAATGGAACTATATATCTTTTATAAAAATTGTAAAAAAATAAAAAGTATTTCACATTACTTTAAGACAAAAGACTCCACACGATACCTTTGTTTCAAATAGTTACTGAATTTGAAAAAAAAGAAATAGTTTCTTTATCTAAATAATCATTATGTATTATGGTTTTATACTATTTTAGTCATGCATTGCTTATTGAATAATTTCATACTTCCATTTTATTTCTTCTTTTTTTATTGAAGATAAGATTTCGTCTAGAGGATTGATGTAATAAAAGCTCTTTTCCTTTGGTTTGATTATCTAGAAGAAATAACAATTTAAACATTTTAATCCTAGTTTCTTTCCAATTGAATAATTTTTTTAAAAAAGTTTGTATTATTTTTTTATTATGAAATATTTATGTTCATAAATATTATTTATATTATTTTTATTTTTTGAAATACTTAGATATATATTGCTTATCTAACTTGTTTCATTCATTCATCCATATTGATGAATAGATCATTAAATATAAAAGAGTTTACTCACTGTAAGCGTCCAATGATGTTTTGCAACATCAAAGCATATAAGAATATCTAGTTTTAACAACTCATCCTGCATATAAATAAGATTTTTATTTAAATACCGCATGTGTTATGAATAAGTATTTAGTGGCATAACCAGGCGATTATGTGAAGGATCTTTTATCCTTAATATTTAATGTTTTTTTTATGCTTGCATCGACCTTACAACGGCCATATGCGCATGAATCTCTTCATGTGTAGGATTAAAGGAAAAAAGGCGACTCCCTAACCATTTGCCTTGTTACGCTTATCTATCTATATTTACTTTTTAATTAATGCTTTAAATATTTTAATAACATTCAATTTTTTTTTCAGTGAAAATGTTTAATACCAAATTTTTCATTCGAATCAAAGCTGTTTTATTTGGTAACACTTCTTGTGATAGTATTCCGGCTGGTGCTAGTACTTCAATTTTGTTCTTACATGAAAAAAAGAATTGTGAATTTTAGCATTGTAAATCATGTTATAATGTTTTATTTATAAAAATAGTTTTTAAATTTACATGTTTTATAAGAAATATTGTATTGTAAACTGGCTTAAAATTCAGAATTTTAGTTTTAAATAATGTATGTTACATTACATTAAAATATTTTCATAACATAATTGCGTAATTTTTCATAAATCTTACCTTATCTTGATGACTAGCAAGTAAACTCAGATAAACGTAAACTGTTTCATCACTCAAACAATCAACTAGAGTTTTTTGTAATGAGTAGTCGTATATTTTGCTGTCTCCCAATTCTTTAAATATACCGATTATTGCTTTTATCGGTTAAAGATTTTTTAGGCATTCCATTATTTCCAATCCTGCATATAATATGATTTTTTTTTTTACTTTTACTAATAGTATATTTAATAAACAATTTTGATTTGAAAAACACCTAAAAGTTCAAAATTTTGCTCACTTCAGTTGCACGTCATATAAAATATACCTTCACTGTTTTCAATAATACAGCTTTTACCACTGTCGCTTACTTCTGAATCGTCAAACTCTATAAAATAAAATAATCGAGTAAATTTTGAAATTAATATAACTTGTCTTGTTTTTTAAGTATGAAACGAAAAGAATTTTAAAAATTGCATGTTATTCGGCGTAAAGTGTTAACTACTTTGTGTTCTTTTTACTGAAGTATCATTATTGCTCAAATCTGTAACATTGACATCATCTACAAAAAAAAAAAGAAATTAGAAAAACAGATTTTTTTTTCATCATTGTTTCTAGCTAACAAAGAGATAAATGAAGAACTTCAATATATACATACATACATACATTACATACATACACACATACACTACATACATACACAAATACATTACATACATACAAACAAATCTGTGCAACTTAAAAAAGATTTGTTGCCCATTGCTGTTTCTGTAAAGGGTCCAGCAAAATCAATACCCACAATTTCCCGTACTCGAGTTGTCTAAAGTTATTAAATATAAACAGTATAACAAGACCTTATTATGCTGCTTAAAATTGAATCTAAATTATTCTATATTAGGTAAGGAATTAAACTGCTCGCTTCATGATTAAGGTTTTTTATGATCGAATGGCATTCTTGGATCATAACGCACTCGATTTAATTTATTATGCAGAAGCTTTGTCTTACAAAATTTATGTTTCAGTGAGATGGATTTCAGAGAGAGTTGCAATTAGTTAAGATGAAAAAAAAAATTATTATAATATAGAATAATATCATTTAAAAAATGTATTCTTCTTTTCTGTAGAGTCATTGGACAAAGTATTGGTTTTATAAATAAAGTTTTTTACTGTTTTAAAAATCATTCTAACCTTTATTGAACGTAATGGCTCTGCTAATGAAATAAGTGCACCTGCTGTTTGGCATGCTTGCATTGTTTAACCTGTTACAATAAAAGTTGCAATTTTAATTCAGTTTTAACTGATTAATTTTTTTTAATTGATTATTACCAACCCATTTTATAATATCCGTAGTCATATTTGGCCAGTAGTATTTTTCCATAATTTTTGACTTCGTCTTTGTTTCACCGCTATGCCCTCCCAAAGGGTTACCGTGTTCCTTAGTAAAAATCTTAATTCTTTCTTCTTCACAAAGTATAATATCCGCGACATAAGAATTTTCGTAGATTGTGACTTTCCGTTTCAGCTTGCCTTCTTGAATAAAGTTTGTTAGACATTTTTTTGGTAGCATGGAACAATATTTTTACTAAACTAAATGTTGCAAAAAAATTAAACTACCTTGCACAACGTAATTTCGAGATCGTAACATCTCTTAGACATCGTTTTTCATTTTTTTTAAAACCAGCCGGATAAGTGTTCTCTGTTAAGTATTTAAAGATGTTATTGAAATAAATTTCTTTTTTTTCACCGTTTGACATTGTTGACAGAACCAATCCACTTAACAACACTGAATTACTGATTTTTTTGAAACATAAGAAGGTATTTATGCAACAAATTTGTAATTTTGCGTGGTTTAAAACTGCCACAATTGCTTCCTAAAAACTTAATTACTGGTTTGTGGACAATGCCAGAGCATTAAAGACGGTTGTTTTTTATAGTAACGTTGAAAATGGTTTACTTAAAAATATGTTAAAACTACAAGACTTTGATTTTAACAAATATTTTAGGCGTATTGTAACAATGATCCACGTTGGAATTATTTACGATTCAATTTTTTTCCTTGTGCAAAAGGTTGTGGATTTTAGCATTACAAAGATTTTGAAATAGGTGTCAAAAAAGTAAATCTAAAAAACATTTTAACTAATCCTAGTAATATTTTTTTGAGGAATAACTTTTGCTAATTATTTTGTCGGCATTTTCTTATTGCCTAATTAGGGAATAAATAAGTATTATTACAAAACCGAATAACTACTTATAACTGAAGGTCTTTTCAATTCATTTTCAAAAGCCATTGCAATCCTCAACCTCAACAAAAATGAGATTATATTTATATTCTTCTATATAATAAAACAGGTACGATCCCATTTTTTTTAAGATTAAGGTTTGTACAGCAGTATTTCTCAAGTTAACTTATACGATTGTTCTTTTATGCAATTTTCGACCAAATAGCGCCTTAAAAACACGTTTCAAGGTGGATTCGCTAATGTTAAATGGTCGAAAAAAAATCAAAATCCTTCTCTGATGGAACTGCAAAAATAAATATATATTTATTTGTAATGCTTATGTAAATAGATTTGCCTGTTGCCAGTTATGGGTCTGGTATCACCCGGTCGGTTGGTCACCTCTAAAAATAGGGATTCCAAAAGTGTCAGGGTCACAACTACCCAAAAAGCAAAAATTAAAACAATTGACAATAAAATCCTCGAAACAGAAATAAACAAAAAGAAAGATTGATATTTGGTTTTATTAATTTCACAGGTGATCACTCCTTCGATCCGTCAATGCTTGTTTTTAAGATTTTCTTTAAACATTTTTTCCTTCATCTTTTTTTTATTATTTTTAAAGAATTTTTTTTTTTCTCTCGTTAAACTAATCTTTTTTCATTTCAGCTTTGCTGGGTGATATGAAATTCATATTCTAAAGAAATTGATCATTAATTATTATAACAAAGTATATGGTTTGAAATATTTGTATTCACAAGACATAGTTTGAAATTTTTATAACTTTAAAAATATACACAAAGTATAAATATACATAATATACATAATATATAAATATACTTAGGTAAATGCTTATGTATTGACTATATACTTCAGCATCTACTTAAAACATATTCATCTACTTAAAAAATACTATAGAACCTTAAGGTTAAAGATATACATTTTGAATCTATAAATTATTTAGATAAAATGTATAAAACTGCTTTCATAATAAAAATTAGAAAAAAATTAGAGAGTAAGAGATTAGACTACATTAAAGAAAATGAGAACATTAAAAAAATATAATAATAAAAGATTTGTTTGGCAAGCAAAAATATTTTAAAAGTAGGTTCATCCAGTTTCCACACTTCCGCAGCAGATGGTAACGCAAGTAACAGTACAGTACGCAATTGATTCAAGTTTTTGATCTTCTTTATGGATGCATTTTTCCTGTACTGCTTATATAATATTTATGTTTCGAAATTTTTGATCCTTTTGAACTTTGGAAAATTTTTTGTGTGGTTCAAATAATTACATTTTCTTTCTATATAATAGCATTAATCTTTTATCTTGGCATTTTGATTATCTTATTCTCCATTTGATTCTGTTTAATGAAAAAAACAAAAATATCAACACATGAAAGTATAAAAAAAGAACATTTTTATGTTTTTAGTGATTTACAAAGAGAAGGTGATAATTCTGACATATAAAAACTTTCTAGACAAACATTCATTAACACAATTAATTCATACTTGCGTGCATTACCATTAGGACCGAATTAATATTAGCTTCTAAAGATATAACACTAAACTTACCTTTTTAGCACCAGACTGACAAGGTTGGGCAAAAAGAAAACTGAATATCCTGAAACAATTAATAAACTTTATAATAAATAAAATACTTAAAACTAATAAACCTATTTATAAGTATTCCGTAACTTCAAATGATTATAAAGGTGGTTTTCCAATAGTGAATAAACAATATGATAAAGTTGAGCTTTAACTTAAAGTGTAAATTGCTAACTGAAAAACTTACCTTCTGCCAGTCAGAAAACGTTCACACTATCACATAAAGTCATTCAGAAAACATCACACTATAACATGATGAGTCACTAAAAACGAACAAAAAATAAATTTTTAAATACAATGTTACAAAATAAACCATCTTATACTGACTGATTTACATGGGAGAGTTAATAATTCAGGCGCAGGTTTAGTAATTTTCTAAGGGGGAGGTGATAATTCAGACAAATACAAAGAAATTTTTTGAGCATTTTTAAGTAAAAAAGTGACTAATTAATTTACAAATAAACAATTTCTATCATTATAAAACAATATCATTATTGCACTATCTCATATGGAGTGATTGACTAAGGAGGGAGGTGATAATTCAGACAGATATAAAAATATTTGTAGAGTATTTTCATGTAAATATATGACTATTATTGACCGTTGTAAAATTTTTCTCACAAAATAACATAATCACACCGTCTTATATTGACTGATTTACAAGGGGGAGGCAATAATTCAGGTGAAGGTTTTGTGATTTCCAAAGGGGGAGGTGATAATTCAGACAGATATAAAGGTTTTGAGCATTTTCAAGTAAAAAAGTGACTAATTAATTTACAGATGCACAATTTCTAATCATTATCAAACAATACTAATATCGTATCATTTCATATCAAGTTATTTACTAAGTCTTAGCAAGCCTGAGTCTAAGGGGGAGGTAATAATTTAATATTTTTATGCAAGTATAATAATTATAAGTATAATAAGTAAACTAATTTTATTACATTTGTATAATATCTATTACTATCAACCTTTTTTTATAAAACCTTGCTTATATTACTTTTCAAAAAAATGGAATTGGAACATCACAAAAGACCAAGTAAACTTTATTTCTCGAATTCTTGTCCTCGAAGCGTCATTTTCGTTGTTTATGTTTATGTTAATTATGTTATGTTATGTAAGGTAATCCGGACGTTTTAGGAACACTTGCTATAACCAGAAAGCGCAACCTCGTTTTGAGTTTTCAATAGGGGGAGGTGATAATTCAGGCGGAGGTAATAATCTATCACAGCGACCGAGTTAGTAAACAAAGAAAAAATCACGATGGTACGGTAAAATACGATGGTGCGTAAAAATGGCTAATCGTTGTTTTGCCAGTTTTTTTTACTGCACTGGCTAGCCGCCGTTTAGCTATCGCTGGCTAGCCACGGCTGGCCCATAAAAACACATAAAACAAAACGGAGCTTCGCCAGCGTTAGCAGCCGAAGCCGATCCAGCGCGACAGCCTATACAGGACCAGTGCGGGACCACTATACCCTTGCTTTCTGAGTGGTTTTGTTTAAGAAACTGCATTGAAAATAAGTCTTTTTTTGATCTAACTTTTTATAAATTTGTAAATTCTTATCTAAATGCATATAAATTAGTATTAAAGGAAACATGCAACATCAAAATACAACTTTATATTGGCTTTTTACAACTGGGCCTATCTTTGGGAAAGAGGGGAGGCACAACCACCACCATAAAAAACCACCTGTAAAAAATGGATTCTTTTTATAAGAGAAATTTTAAACTTTTATAAAATATTTTTTCATGAATGAAGACTATAGTTTTAATCCAAAATATTTCCACCATTAAATATAAGAATTTTATCTTAGAATTGCAAAGGGCTTAAATATGAGAATTTTATCTAAGAGTTGCGAAGGGCGTAAATATGATAGTTTTATCTTAGAGCTGCGAAGGGCGTAAATGTGAGATATTTATCTTAAAGTTGCGAAGGGCGTAACAATGAGATTTTTATCTTAGAGTTGCGAAGGTAATGAATTAAATGTGAAAGCATTTATTGATCAATTATCCTTAATTAGTTGGATAAATATATATGTATATATATATATATATATTTTTTTTTTTCAATAATAATTTATTCATAACATAAAACATATGTTAATACAAATAGCAGGGGCAAAAAGAAGACATATTTCTTATTGACTTTAAACATGATGCAAACGTAATCTATGAATTTTTTTAAAAAATTAAAAAAATTTTTATATAATTGTAATTTTTTTTTATTAAAAGAAAAAACAAAAAACAATGTTTAAAGCAAGTTCTTAGGGATCGTCCATAAAGAACATTCGCTTTTTTTTTTGCCAACCCTCTACCCAATTCCCCCACCCTTGCAATTTCTCGAATGTTTTTTGAGTACTCTCTACCTTTCTAAAAGTACCTACGCTTTTAACCTACTAACCCAACATTTTATGATTTTTTTTTAAATTTAGTATCACCATACTTTTATAATTGACCTACTGCCCCCTTGTCTCAGAAACGCATTTTGCAGACCTCCTCTTTCTCTCCGAACGTACGTACTTTATGGACGATCCCTTATACAAAAAATATGCCAAACAATTCGAATGCTATAATGTGATTTGTTAACAACTGTTTCTGAATGTCTTGCACAAAACATATAAAGCTATTATTAAAATGAAAATAAATTGATTTGATTTGATATTAAATTCATTAGTATGATATTAAGTTATAAGAAAAGATACCGTTCAGTTAAAGCACTATTTTAATAATCGTATGCTAATATTAAATAACGTTATCATGTTGCATCTGTAACGGGAATATATATCTGTTATCAAATAATATACGTGATAATAGAGTTTTCACTGATATGTTAATATACGTAATTATGCTTTAGCTAAACAATATTTATTGTTATGCTAAAGTTTTATTACATATACAAACATTACAGTGCAAACTGTAATGGAGGTATATCTACGTATAGATGCTAGATATACTACGCAATATATTGTCAAGTTCATTAGACGAACCTGGAGATCTTTTGTCACCGAAAAACAAGTATAAATGATTTAAAAGAATTGTTATCTCTGACCAGACATAAAGCTTAAAATGACCTAACGTAAGTTTTAACATTGACAAATATATTTGTCAATGTTAAAACTTACGTTAGGTCATTTTTAACATTGACCTATATTTTAGGTCATTTTTAACATTTGTACGATATTTGCAAAAAACCGATTTGTCTACAAATCGGTTTTTTGCAAATATCGTACTATGTTGGGCCAATGTTGAGTCAATGTAGTATCGGTTTAAAGTTTTGCTATAAAAATCTGTTCTTTTACTAATGCAGTAGCCAATATTCGGTTAATGTAGTTGCAGATTAGTGCGTTTTTAAACTTGTTGCAAAACATTTTTATAAAATGGTATTGTTTTACAGAAATAAACAAGTTTTTAATATTATCTTACAATTTTTTTTTAATTATAAAAAAAAAAAAAAAAATTAGCTATATTTTTAATCTCCTAAAAGTTTCTGTATTAGAAATAAGCTTCAAGAGGTTCTCGTTACTTAATGTTTTATTTTTTTTTAGATAATGAAATATTAGTTAACATTTAATTTAAATTTTAGCACTAATTTTAATTTACATTTACAATTACATTTAAATTTAATTTAAATTTTAACATTATTTAGATTTTAAATAATGTGCTCACAACATTTTACTACAATCTAAATTATCGATCAAAAAATAAAGGCAATAATTAAATTATTTTTCTGTAAGAACTTGTAGTTATTTTTATTTTCAATACTGTTTTTACTAAATTGAAATTTTAAATATTTGATTTATTTAATAAAGAAGATATTTAAAATTTAAAATGTCTTCTTTATTACATAATCAAACATTTGAAATGTCATATAGTAATAAATCATTAATAAAAAAAAAATATATGATCTCACATAAAAATAGTTCATAAATTTATTAATACTTGCAAACTATACAACACTTGTGTCACTAGTGTCATTAGATATAAAATTTTATATATGACTACAACAGTGGCTTTGTGGTTGTTAGAAGCTGGTGTTTTAAAATTTATATATATTTCTTTTGTTTGATTATTTCTGTGTTTGACTGTAAAACCGTATCAACTAATATATTAAAACAGTTTACAAAAAGTGATGTTACTAGAATTTATATTCTACTTATGTAGACCTTTCTAATATTGACAGACAATTCTTTTTAAGACCAATGACTAGTCTATAATGATTTATGAGATTAAATCAATAAATAATCATTAATAACAATTAAAATAAAAAAACTCGATTTAAATCATTATTTTTATTTGTCTGACTTAAATCATGATTTAAATCGAAACAGCCCTGTATATATTCCATCGTTCTGAGGCAGATGGACATTATCCTTGGTTTTATTATTTTTTAATTTAATATTACTGGATATTGTTCATATGAAACAACACCATGCACCTAAATATTAAACCGTCGACATTTAATTGATTATTTCATCTGCATTTTGGCAATATCATAAAAATCATAGAAATCAATAAACACAGTAACTAGGATGAGGCCAGGTTGCATTTGAAAAAAAAGCATTTTTGATTAGCAAATATATATCTTGCTCAATTTTTATGCTAAAAATTGCATAAATTAGAGAACTTGCTAAAAAAAAGGGGAGGCGATCGAAACACGAACCTCCTAGGGGTTCGTGTTTCGATAGGTACAAACCTGAAGATGAAGCAAAACTGTAAGTAAGATTAAATTTAGTTATAGGTTGTAAAGTATTGCTTAGTTCAAATAGATCATAAACTCTCGAATGCAAATATTTTTGATACATAAGATGTTTTTAAGATATCAAATTTTTTAGAGTAATTCATTATTAAGTCAAATTGTACTTACAAGTTTGTTAAATTAAAGATTGTGACTAGTAATTATATCTTCAAGCTGCTGCAGCTTTTTCCGGTTTCACACAGGAAAATCAAGAGTTTCAAAAATGTTGCCATCGTCTTGTATCCCACCTTGTGACAAAGTCTGCAACATAGTAGTGTTGCAAGTAGTTTGCTTCTGAAGATTAGGTACTTCGCTTTTCAGCTCAACTAAAAGAGTAAATATTTTATTTAAAACACTGTTTGATGTTTGTGCAGATGTATGACTAGCTGCTGTAGACAATTCTGTGGCATTCAAACTAGTATCTGTAATTGACAAGCTAGTCGGAATATTAGGAACAAGATTGGCTATCACTTGTTCTAACTCTCCTTCTGTAAAGGCGCCTGCTGAAACAAATGGTATATCTTCTAATTTACGCCGACTGATTGTATGCAATTCTGATGCTGCATGTGTTGAAGATCGGTTACAAGCGGCAGATGTAGATGTTGCAGATTGCCAACTACTTGTGTTTGCAGGTGTTACAGATTCTTGACTAGCCACATGTGATGTATATAACTCAGAGCCTCGTTCAATAGCTCTAGTAAATGGCTGTGAAATTGATTCTGCTATGGCTTGTTCACTGATTACACAAGATGAAGGTGTTAAAGAGCAAGAACACAGGAAATGGAGGTGCTTTAGGGGCTGGTTTGTGAGATTTAGTTTTCGATCGACTGTTGCTCCCTCCTGCAGAACCTTTCCTTTTCTTAGAAACTTGGCAAAGGGGTTGTTTCTTTATTTGCTGAGAATCCTTGTCAAAATACTCATCACTACTATCGTTGTCATCTTCAAGATATTTCTGAATACTAAACACACACAAAAAAGAATAGTAAATTACATTAAGTGCAATATGTTTATTTATGTAGAAATTTCATTGCACTACTTGTTTTTTAACACAATAACTATTTCGTTTAATTAATTAATATTACTTTATATAGTTAATTAATTTACTCTATATAATACTTGAAATTACCGTTTTGTCCGCAGTCTCCAAACATCTACATCACTCTGTAAATCTGATGTTATCTCGGCTTTACCAAGTTCGGATCTAGCCTTTACATACGAATCTGTGAGAAAAATTGTAGTAGACTTTAAACAAAATGTTGATTTTGAATCCTGTTGATATATTAATCATTTTATTCAACTCAGAAAATGAAAATAAACATATCTAGAAACATAAAACAAGTCAAGTCAAATATAATATTTAAAAAAATAAAATATCAATGAGTCAGTAATATATATTTGACATT